TTCTTTGTCAGCTGCTACCATTCAGCACATAATCTTGACTTTTGAACAGAATTCAGTGGAAGCTTCTTGTACCACAGCACTTACCCTAGATAATGAGCTGAATCATGAGATTTCTGTCTTGGCTTCAGCAGCCTGAGCGTGATTTCACTATGTCTTGTATTTTCTTTCCAGCAGTGTTTCAATATGATTATTAGGTACCCACCAATGTGCAATCCTTTCTCTTTTAGAGGATACTTAACACAGCAGTTACTATCCTTAAGTTTTTAACAGCACTGCTACTACTAGGTATTTCATTTTTTTACCTCAAATACTTACACTTTTTTTTTCTGCACAGTTCTTTGTGCAAGTCTCTTCTACCAACTACTGATAAACTAACATTAGGTCTTTGAATATCACTCAGTTATTCTCCACCTACACTGGGATATAATGCGCTGTCTTTTGAGTGGTAGAACAATATAACATTGTAACATACTGAGATACTTAAGTATCTAAAAATTACAAATTTTCACTGAAGGAACAATAATGTTACAGTTTTTTAAACTCAGCAGATTTTTATTAGCTGTTTCAGGAATGCACATACTCATAAAAGTACTATGTATATTTTCTTTATAGTAGCCAAAGAGTATTCTCTATGCACTATATATATTTCTACAAGAATTTAGCAGCCCAAACCTTTTCTAATTATTAAATTGTTGAAGAGCTGGATACATACACATGTAGTATCTACTTCATATAAGATTAGCAGAGCACCTAAAAATTCTAAATGACTCTAAAGGTATAGGAATTGGGAAGAAAGAATTCAATCTAGCTATCTAAAGAATGCAATTTTCAAGTGAGTTACAGCTTTCATCTGCTACTCTGTAGAAACGTTGAAGAGCTGGCGTGAGTTAGAGTGGGGGAGCTGACAATGGCTGCAGAGCACACTTGAGATACAGGAAAAGTCTGCGGGCAATTTACATTGGAACGCTACACCCAAAGGGTTATGCTCAAAAGCATCTGAAGTCAAGGAGAGACCAGCTCCCCAATTTACAGTGAAGAACAGTCTTGTTTAACTTGTTCTTCTACAGAAAGAAGAAACAAAATAATATGAACAAAGGAGGTGACAGTAGCAGCAAACCTATAAAGCTACTGTTATAGATTAAATGCAGTAAAAATTACGTCCAGGCAATAACACAGCAATAGCTTCTATTCACTTCAAGAACTGCTTATCAGAAAACACCATTTAGCCATCGGTGATTAAGAACAGTGCTATTATAACAGAAATGACATCCATATCCAGTGTGTCACTTCACCTTGGAAATATTAATATATCTTAGTGAGAGACTGTTATTTAATCTCACAGCTGCTACCTGTCTGTTGGAGCTGCGGTTGCCTGTACGAGTATGAGAGGATATGTAGATGGGTGAAGGATAGTAAACAGAAGAGGATTCTGTTAGGGAGATCAAACTCTGAACAATTATGTTAATAGCAGATTTGCTTGAAATAATTGAAACCTATTTTAATTTAAGACTCTTTATAGATACAACTTTTTGTTTTTCTTAATGTGTAAAGGAAAGGGGTATTCTGAGAGCTGAATAGGTGAAATTGTTGGACAATTCAGAGAGCTGGAGAATTGCAGGAAAAAATGGACTCTAAATAAAGTAGCTGTGAAGCATTGGGAAAGGATCTTGAAGGGTGCTGCAATCCTAGGGCTTGCCTGCTGTTTTAGAATGGACCTGATATACTTTACTGTGGGGGAGCCCTAAAAAATTTAATACTAACTTTACTGAGGAAGAGACATATTGTTATCTTCATATAAAAAGAGAGTTTACTATCCAGATACTTTGCAGAACAAAGGTATCATTAATTACTGAGAGATTAATTTGATCCTTGTAGTTAACCCTCTGACAAAATTTTATATCAGCTGACAGAAACTGTGAGACAGCTCTCTTTTTAATACTGAGCCTTATACAGTTCATCAGCTTTACAGATTAGAAATGTGACAGCTCTTTATGTCTCCTAGTATATTATACTGGCTGCTCCACAGCCACAGACACTGACAGATATGCTTTAGTTTTTATAATGCTTAGAAAATTGGCGGTTAAAGTCTGTGCTGCTGTTCCTCCAGCACCCCATGAAGTTCCAGATCTTCACTTAAACATCACTGCAGTGCAAGAGCTGAACATTGCATAATAACAGACTTCACTCTTCCAGAGCTCAGTGTTTTGCACGGTATAATCATGACATTATGTAGCAACATATAGCTGATAAACTAGCATGAGCACTTCAAAACACTGGCGATGTGATTTAGATATGATGTGATGTCATATATGTCCTGTCACCAACCCCATGCATGATTTTGCAGCATGCTGTATGCTCTGAATAGAAGCAAACCTGAACAATTCTTTATTCTGTGGGGAAAAAATTAATGGTACAACTTTCTTATTTCTTTATTTTCCCCATGTCTTACCTATATGAGCTGCTTGTACTGATTTGAATTAATTCAGAATCCCCAACTTTATATTGCTATCAGTGAGCCCTTCAACTGGCCTGGTGCTACCGTGCTCAACACCAGAGTTGGCTGAAAATTTCTTTTCAATGTCATTCAGCACAAGTATACCATCAAAGATAGATGTGTGGTAAGAAAGCCTGACCGCAAAGTTCTCATGTGCATGGCCTTACTGGAATTTCTTTTAGCTGACATTTTAATAGCTACATAAATTTTTTCTGCTCTTCTTCTATCAAGGTGTTATAGTGCCCTGAATCAATTTCTTAGGTGGGGCAAATGTTGCATGGTCTACAAAGGCACACAGTGCACTGATTAATAAAACCCTTTGGCTTTTTCTGTTCTTCATTGTCCATCTTGCCAATTAAACACTTTTAAAGAGCCTGAAGGAATGCTTAGTATAGAATTACATACCTTCCCAGAATGTAAATTCTAAATCTCAGTAAATGAGGGGCATATTTCTGCTCTGGGAAATGCTTTGTGTGTAAGTTCAAAGAAATTTATGGGAGAGTGTTAGATTTTGTTTGTTTATTTTAATTGTGAGAAAACAACAAAGAATTCAAGTATCAAAACAACCTTTCAAAATGTTGTTGGAAAAGTAGATGAAGGAATGCTCCCTTCCCTTCCCTTCCCTTCCCTTCCCTTCCCTTCCCTTCCCTTCCCTTCCCTTCCCTTCCCCCTCTGCCC